TATATATATATATATATATATATATATATATACACCGCATGGACATAATGAACCTCCATACCAATTTTGGTGAAGATCCATCCATACCCTGCGAAGTAGTTATTACATGGACATACAACAGACAATACTATTATATCTATATTTCGAATAACTTCAACGGGTAGATTTTATTATCAATGCGACAAAATATTCCGTACAGCAGTATTCTGGTTTCTTTGTAGTTCTTTGATAACGGTTTTATATCTCCATTCTCCCAGGTGAAATACATGACATTTGTACAACTCATTCAGTATCTAATTTTGAAAGTTAAAGAACAATCCAATGTACAACAATTATGGCACATCAAAAAATAGAATTTTGTATGAATTGCTGTTTGAACTTCGTCTTTTTTTTCTTTTTCTTTTTTTTTTTTATTTTTTTTGAAGGAGTGCTTAGCAAAGTAATCGATAGATGGCATCGCGAATCAACACATTCTGGATATATCTTATTTCAATATCTGTAAATATAGAGTTATTACTGAGTTCTTTCCGAATTGTATAAAATAACCATTTATAGAAAATTGTAATGTCCTCTGTTACAAAATGGCATGCATATATATATTTTAAAGGACGTCCACTATTATACAATGTTTAAAATTTGATTACGAAGTGAAAGTTCACTATTATACAATGTTTAAACTATGATTACGAAGTGAAAGTTCACTATTATACAATGTTTAAAATTTGATTACGAAGTGAAAGTTCAATATTATACAATGTTTAAACTGTGATTACGAAGTGAAAGTTCACTATTATACAATGTTTAAACTATGACTTACGAAGTGAAAGTTCACTATTATACAATGGTTACAATTTGATTACGAAGTGAAAGTTCACTATTATACAATGTTTAAAATTTGATTACAGAATGAAAAGAGACACCACAAAAGTCTCCATGTTTCAATTCTTAAAATACCAATGAAGTGAAAGATAAGAACTAAAATATTCGAGATGTTGTAGCTTATTTCGTGTGAGACTCTTCGATTATCTTTTATGTGAAATAATGGTTACTGAAAAAGATGCGCAGTTGTTTATCATACAAACATATATACATCAGCATAGGTTCGAATTACGCCACAAGTTAAACTTCAGTTTTATTAAAATAAAATAAAATGAATAATATTTTATCGCCCGACTATACATTTCTTCGTCGAACGACAAATTTTGCAAACAAAGCATTGTTGCAGATAAGTGTTGGGTAGAGCATAAAAAGCACATTGTGTACCTTTGCGCTTAACAACAACCAACCAAAGCGTTACGGATAATTTAAAATTGGGTCGGGAGATTCAGACTCTTATAATGAATTACATTAATATCGACAGATGTTGACTTCAAAACTTGACCTTACATAAACTGATGCTAATTAATATTACAACAAAGAAACAAAGCTGAAACTTATACATCTTTCTCTGTACATATGTTTCATTATTATTAATATTACAACAAAGAAACACAGTTGAAACTAGTACATCTTTATCTGTACATATGTTTTATTATTATTAATATTACAACAAAGAAACACAGTTGAAACTTGTACATATTTCTCTGTACGTATCATTATCATTAATATTACAACAAAGAAACACAGTTGAAACTAGTACATCTTTCTCTGTACGTATGTTTCATTATTATTAATATTACAACAAAGAAACACAGTTGACACTAGTACATCTTTATCTGTACATATGTTTTATTATTATTAATATTACAACAAAGAAACACAGTTGAAACTACTACATTTTTCTCTGTACATATGTTTCATTATTATCAATATTACAACAAAGAAACACAGTTGAAACTTGTACATATTTCTCTGTACATATGTTTCATTATTATTAAGATTAGAACAGGAATATAAAAATAATCTTCCTTCGTTTTAAGTGCCTGAAATCATCCGTAACTGTTAGTAACGTACTAGAACTTGTTATATGTGTATATGTAAATATATACATATATACACACAAACATGCATATTTTCTATTCGAAAAAAAATATTCATCACTTACATTACTATGTAAGATAACAATAACTGGTGAGATATGTAAAGGATCAAAATCAACATTAGTACAACGTGGCTCAAATATACGTTGCTGTACATGTAATTGTCTTAGAAATAGAGAGATTGACGTATTTATTTAATGAATTATTTCTAATACTGTTAACTGATGTTTAGAGTAGCATCGATCATAGTGACTTATTTGGGTATCAGCCAATCACAGATCTTATTTTGCTTTCCTACAGACGACCAATAAAAAGAAAACAAAGAGGCCAGTGAGTTTAATGAAATTGAACTTGTGTTTTTATCTAATACATTTTGGTATTCTACAAAATATTATTCAAAAAGTCTAACTGTAAGGCAGTGTACATGACTCTTGAATTATCTACGAACCGTTACATAACACTATGGTGAACTGTGATGAGTCCCTGGAATACCGCATGCACGAAATCATCCACGTGGCATCCTAGATCGTGGTTGGTCGAATGTGAATGCGACGTTCGTCTGTTTCGCGCTATTTCTACAGCATCGTTTGGTAGAGAAGATTAGAGCCACATCCATCGTCTGCAAGCAGAAGACAGCTGAGTGAACTCATAGGAGATTGATTTAGTCTTTTTTTCTGGTAAGGCAGATCTTTAATATTTTTAATAGCTGTAAAAGTCTTTTTTTAATCTTTTGTTTTACAACTTAGGTTTTAATTTTGTTTTAAAAAGTCCAGTTTGTCATTATTTATTGTACCAGAGTCAAAAGAAAAGCAACAGGTTCCTATCAAAGGTGGGCAATTTCTTAAAGGTGAGTATAACATTTGTTTCGTACATTTCTAAAGAATGGGTGTTCGAAATTATCATATTAGTGCCATGATCCCATTGGTATGTGAAGTATTGAAAACCATTATCCAACTCTATCTATGAAACACTTCAATGGAAATAAATAATTTACGGATTTTTAGTTAGTGAGTTAGGTGTGAGTTCAATTTGAATAACTTTTTTCAAAAAGTTCTATATAGGAAAAAATACTTAGAATAAGAAACATTTTCGACATAGATAATAATGTAACTCTAAACAGAAACAAACTAATTAAAGTAAGAAATAAAGAACACATTAAATAATAACAAATGCTCTACACAGGAAAAATCTAGTTAAAGTAAGAAATAAAGAACACATTAGATAATAACAATGCAACTCTAAACAGACACAAACTAATTAAAGTAAGAAATAAAGAACACATTAAATAATAACAAATGCTCTACACAGGAAAAATCTAGTTAAAGTAAGAAATAAAGAACACATTAAATAATAACAAATGCTCTACACAGGAAAAATCTAGTTAAAGTAAGAAATAAAGAACACATTAGATAATAACAATGCAACTCTAAACAGACACAAACTAATTAAAGTAAGAAATAAAGAACACATTAAATAATAACAAATGCTCCACACAGGAAAAATCTAGTTAAAGTAAGAAATAAAGAACACATTAGATAATAACAATGCAACTCTAAACAGACACAAACTAATTAAAGTAAGAAATAAAGAACACGTTAAATAATAACAATGCATGCTCTACACAGGAAAAATCTAGTTAAAGTGAAAAATGAGAAGCAAATTATATGACAATAGTTAGAGAAAGGAATATGCTCTATATTAGATAATAATAGTTCTTGTTCTAAGCAAAACAGGATAACTTAATAAAGAAGTAAGAAACAAATAAGATAATAATAATTTATTTTTTAAGCACACAAAAAAGCCATTTAAAGTAAGAAATAAGAAGCACTTGAGATAATAATAATATATAATGATAATTCAGAGAAAAAAGTTATTCAAGAAATCAGAAGGAAAAAGAAATTGATAATGTATGATCTACAGAGAAAAAAACTATTCAAAGTATGAATTAATAAGGAAATTCAATTATAATTATGCATGTTTTACACAGAAAAGAAAAAGAAGCAAATTAAATACTGAGGGCATCTGCGAGTTTCATCCTAAAGTTGTTTTCAGGAAGGTGTTAAATAGGCATTTGTAATAAATCTATTAATTATCTGACTGAGAAAGACATTGCTTAAAACAATTAATTATTGTTCGCTTGGTTACACATGCTGTAGTTTTCAATAATGTTATTTTTGTGCAAAGCTTGTGTGATACTACAACAATATATTATGCTGTTCGTTAATTAAGTAGTTGTAGACGAATTAATTCTAAGTATACAAACAATGAGGGGGACAACACGTTAAAGAAACTTTTAGATTAATAGATACAGCTGAGGAGCAATCTGCACGATTAATTTGACATTTTAACTATTTTATCTCTAGAGGGGGTTATGTAAAATTTTACATGTTAATTATTTCAATATTCAATTTATTTTCTCGTAAACAACCCACGGTAAAAACAAATATATAACGTCAAGATTTTCTTCGTACTTTCGAAATAATATGTCATGCATCTAAATTTCAAACAATGTCTAAGGAAACTTTAAAATGATAATATGAACAAAGATGAACTGACTTTCCACATAAACGCTTCTTTAAATTCCAAGATTATAACGTTCAAAGGTATAAATATTTGTGGCCAACAGTAGCTGAAGAAAACAACTAGAACATTAATTAGTGAGCCCGAAAGTCTAAACGTCAGATTAAAAAACAGAAACAAGGGGTAGTAAGCAGTTAAGTAAAGAAGATATAACTGATTAAATATAGCATATTTTGGAGTGGTGTGGGAATCTGGAATATCTGTGAAAATCGCAAAGAACTCTAAATGATTATGGGATATTAAATAAAACTTAAAGACTGCATTTAATATTGATAGGTGTAAAAGAATTGGAAATTTGTACATTTTCTTATGATATTAAAATAAAGACTGGTTAATACACCGTGTTATTTAGCCTGAGTTCCTCTGTGAAACTTGTATGGAGGTACAGATGGTCGAAAACATTAATTGTTGCATATCACGTGGATACCCGAATAAAATATTGATGTCTGCATAAAACCTAGGGACGTGTAGAGTAGTTATGGTCACAAAAGCCATAGATACATGTTTAAAACGTTGGAGGATGCAAGAAGTGATTAAATCAAAGCTATATATTTATCTGGACAATTTAAAAAGAACCGGGGATGTATGTATATCCTAATTACTGTTAAATGATAAAAATAGTTCACTAATCAAGGTATGTGTAGGAACTCTAATGACTTCCAATGATTCCGTAATTTTACAAACTAAAAGATTGAATCAAAAATCAAAGGGGTGTAGTTTTTTCAAAGCGTTGACTCTGCTTCATGAAAGAAGAAAAACATCTTGAATTTTCCTGCACAATCTTGTTTACTGAGTCATCACGTTTTGTGCCGTAAGAAACCCCGTTACAAATTTAACTGCCAGAGAAATCGATGGGAATTTGTTCGCTAATGTAGTTGGTTCTACTGAGAAACTGCAGTCGTATACACAAAAATGTAAATAACATTTGATTTATGCTTCATCTACTGGTATTGTCACGGTATTTTCATTGGACGAAGTATATTTTCGTAGATAAAATGTTATGAATGTCTCAAATTTCCAGTTTGGGCCTAAGACAGAATGAAATGGTGGGAAGATTCAACGAAAAACTCCCGGTAATGTTCGACTGCAGTTCAGCATTACATCCAAAGATTATGACTTCTAAGAATTTATACGAAATTATAGGGAACGTAATAACGGCGTAAAATAGTTCTCATTCTGTTACTTTGTAAACCTAAATATCGAAGCTTGGATATGTGATATTTTATCTATTACTTAACCGTAAATAAGATATTTTCCAGAAACACCGGAAATTCCATCTAGCATGCTATAAAATTCTCTACATTCTGACAAAACTACTTCTAAAATAATCTTATAAAAAAAGGTAGGACTAAAGTTTTTTAGGCTTCCGAAGCTGTTAATGAAGACTATAATTATCATTTAAGAATTGACTTGCAACTGTACCACCTCGAGACTAAAGGTTACCGAGGTAACGAAATATTTATGTATATTTTGTTATTAAACTCCCAGTCTGGCGAAATATGAAAGCTGGTTAGGCGTAAAAAAATGATGAAATATCCAATGAGGTTGCGTTTTAGACCATCTTCCTTTTGGCTTCATGAATTTTCTAAATACGATTACTGGAATATTAAACTTGAAATTTGTGTAAATAGCACATCAGGTCTATCTGATTTCTACTACAAAACTACTACCCAGAAGGTCTTTCGCGCAATACTAGAGATAAGGTGGATCTGTTACAACTAAAAGTTTAGTCTTGTAGCGTTAGGCACATAACATGGCGAAGGGCGCAGGCTTCTGGGGTTTATAAAATGCAAAGCTCTCTTTGTTTCAAAATCTAACTCCGCAATTTGGGGTCGTGTGTGCGCTATAAGAGTGCCAGTCATATTCCATATTCGATTATGTAAGAGTAGAACAAGATTGGCGGTGGATGCAATCTGCGGGTCTCGGGTTCAAATCCCCGTCACACCAAACATGCTTGCCCTTTCAGTCGTGGGGGCGTTATTATATGATGGTCAATCCCACTATTCGTTGCTAAAAAGAGTAGCCCAAGAGTTGGCGGAGGGTGGTGATGACTAGCTGCTTTCCCTCTAGTCTTACACTGCTAAATTAGGAACGGCTAGCGCAGGTAGCCCTCGTGTAGCTTTACGCGAAATTCAAACCAAACCTCATCGCCTCTACTCTAAAAACAATAGACGTCACTAATAAGCTTTAAGCAAAAACTTGATTCATATATTAAGTAAATAATATTCTCGCCTCCAGTTACTAAAAGGTTCAATAGAGAATGAATATTTAATTTCTCTGAGATCATTAACATTTACAAAAAATATATATTAAGACTGAATTAGATGTTCATTATATATTAAGACTGAATTAGATGTTCATTATATATTAAGACTGAATTAGATGTTCATTTGTTGCTGAGAATGGAAAGTATATTTTCTATAAGTTTTGTTATCAAACTTTAGGAATGGTTGTTTGTTTGTTTGTAATTAAGCACGAGTATCAAAACCCGGATTCTAGCGTTGTAAGTCCGCAGACATACAGCTGTAACTTTAAGAATGAGAAGACATTTATACATAGTGATTGAACAATATTTATCGAACACAAAAAAAAAAGATACACTTAAGTTTTTTTTGTTCTAATCCTATGTGACTTAGAAATATTTTTACCACAACCTCACCAGGAATTTCTATGAAAACTCTCCCTCAAAATGATGAGAAAAGCAAGATAAGTTTTCATCAGGCTTCTGGCAAAAATTGAAGATAGAAAATGAAGCTGGAAGAAAAGTAATAAAAGTTAAATCGATAGAAGCGATAAACTACAAGTGGCGTCTAATCTAACCTTGATGTTCAAAGCGATGCTATATTATATATATATATATATATATGATATAAATGAAAAAATACTAAGCTAGCGCTTCGACTGCAGCTTTTCTGCTATTGTTGTTTCGAATGTTTCTTATTAAACTGGCTAACCTATTATGACTGGACGAACAATGACTGGATTACAAAAGGAAGATCGATACAGAAATTATTTTAGCACACTGCGATCTTGACATAAATTGCTTTGGGGTTTCCGTCTGTCCAAAGTATTAGTGGATGTAAGGATCTCGATTTGATAGGCAACATGAAACACAACAAATCTAATGTTTTACCATGTACGAAAACAATATTTACATAAATAAATCTAAGGGTAATAAACTTCCTTTCAGTAATATACTAAAACTATATAAATCAAACTATGTATGTGTGTGTGTGTCTGTATAGCAATGTTCTAGCTTCTACCCCAGATAAGATCGTTCACAACAAATCAAAGAAATCAACTATTTATGTTAACTAGATCTTAACTAATTCGAATAAATGTAATTCAGAAACTGTACAATATGCTCAGAATTTGTTGGTATAAGAGTAAAGAGCAAACAGTTAACGTTTTGCATCTGTTCTATTTAACAAGAAAATGAAGCCAATTTAACAACTCATCACATCAGAGCAACAAACAAAAATATTTACAACTTATACACATGTATATAAACGAAAATATTCTGGAAAGGTATTTAAAACAAATAGATAAAATCATCTGACTAGTGTTTTCGATTATATAACTTCATTAAATTAAACACAGAACTGGGGATATTATCCTACAACCAAAAATTAACAGAACATTTTGGTGTCAATAACAACACTGCCAGATTTCGAGTTGTTTCTACAGATTTGTAGATAACTCCTCAACATTGAGAATTGAGAACTGGTGTGACATATATATATATATATATATATTGCGACAATATTTTGCAGAACCTTTTCGAGATATCATATGATGCTATTTAATTCAGGTCTTGTTTTGTTATCAGTCTATTATGAAATTTTTCCTAGTATTTAGTTGATTAAAATTATGAAAGAGAAATCCTTTTGTAAGTAATTTCTCTTATAGTGTTAGCGCCTTTTACAAGCTGGTTAAATATGATTATAATTGATTATACATGCCATAAGATATTAGTTTTAGACCTATTATATTTTTAAACACTACATTCTATATATAGTCCCTTAGGAACTTTCAAGAATTAGAAGTATGTGTAATAATTGTATTATAATGGACTAGATATAGAATGTAGTGTTTAAAAATAATTGTATTATAAGGGACTAGATATAGAATGTAGTGTTTAAAAATAATTGTATTATAAGGGACTAGATATAGAATGTAGTGTTTAAAAATAATTGTATTATAATTTTTAAACACTACATTCTATATCTAGTCCTTAATTGTATTATAA